TACGTCTAAGCATCTACATGACCATTTCAAAAGTTTTCGTTCTTTAAATGTCAGTAGAAGATCAGTGGGCATTCCAAGCAACCATTCTTGATGCCGTTGACTGCCTTAATTTCTTAGTTTTTTCCTCTAAAAATGGCATATGGATGCTTTTCGTCGTTCGTAGCAAACATGGCGCACATTGACACGCGTTAATCGCCTGGTATCGCAACCCTTTTTCACATTAATTACGCCAAGTAGCCTGAGCAGCTAGCAACGCGCGTCGCAACACTACTTCGGACAAGACGGATCAACCTCTGTGGGAGGGACTTATCTCAATGATGAGGATGGCGCATACCTCGAAGGTGGAGCGTAGACATCTAATTTTGTGAAGTTGAAATTTTGACTGTAGATAGGAGACCTTTTGGCTCAGAAATAAACTCGTTTCAAGGATGTTTTAAAACAAAGCTGTATTTTCGAATTACTGGAACAAGATACTAGGTTTTCATCATTTTACACGGACACAATTTAGGCATACTTAACTTGGAATAAAGCTGTGGCATTCAGGTTATTTGCATTGGAGACAAAAACGCTGTCAATATTGTTAAAGAAGCTATACGACAAGTGGTCCTTGTGCATAGATCATACGGAATAAAATACTTCCACATTGGCACTGATGAAGCTTTTGAGGTCCATTTAAAGAGCTCTGCCCTCTGTTCAAAAAGATAGCAGTAAAAGTACTTTTTAAAGTTTAGTACGGTACATGTAAAGCGTCCATAGAACAAGCAGCACTACTAGGATCTCGAGAAAATTTGGCAATCAAGCATTTGGCGACAGTAGCAGCATATACGAAGAAGATTACCAGAGGAGCAAAGTAAGCACAGTTTGTATTCGTATGAGTTAAAAGTGAATACACGTCTCATATTTCAACGCCGTCGAGTAATTGAGTAGAGAACACTTGAATATTTCTGTTATTATGTAGACGTTTAGAATTCTTGCATGGCACGATATGCTGAAAAATTTTAATTTGTACGACGTAAAAAATGCTGGCCTCGGCTCTCTCGTACAACCAGTGATTTGGGATTATTCTGAGACCTTGGCGACAGTAGATGGTAGGTATTATATTCATGCTGCTTCATTAAGTTACTTTTCACTACGGTCTTTCAAAGATTTTCTTATTGATAACCTCGCCCGAACTTTTGGAACCATCTGGACGTCCTCAGCGTTTAAAGGAGCAGACTTTCCTACTGCGAAATACAACAGAATTACACACTATGTGGAAAACA